TTTTTTTCCTGTCATCATCCCTATTCTATATACATTTTATACAGTCCTGGTGTGGTGCTGTGGGTTTATGCGCTGGACTGCAAAGTCAGTTTGAACTGCAAGGTTGGTGGTTGAAGCTCATCAGACACTCCTCAGAAACGCAATAGAGGGTCACTATGGATCAGAACCAACTCAAGGGCACTTAACAACAGTGGATAGCTTCATTCTGCAGAGGGGAGACTGAGGCACAGAGAGGTTAAATAGTTTGCTATAGGTCACCCAATTCATAGTAGGTGAACTAGGAATTCAGACCCGGACCCCAGACTGCTTGGAATCTTTGGCAGTAAATCATCTTCCCTTGCAATGTATATTGGCCCCCTTTGCTCAAGGTGCTGACGCTCCCCCCACTCCTGTTGGAGAAAGTTTTTGGGTGTCTAAGAAAGGACCCTAAGCTCCTGATGAGTAGCAGATAGTGTTAGCCTGAAGAGAGCCAAGTGGACCCTAACTGTGGCATCAGTGTGACTGGGCAGTTGGCTTCTTGGGTTTTCTTGACCTGAGACTTCCCTTCTAGGATATGGGAGAGTCACCCTGCTTGGAGATTAAAGTTAGCAGGTAGGGAGGAAGAACTTGAATGTCTTTCTCCAACCTTGCTCAGTGCCCATGACATCGAATAATTGGAGGTGGATTGATGGGGGGAAGAAGGGTAGGTGAGGACAGTCAATGTTGAGGATTAGGCTGGTGGCACGTAGCCTGCTGGGCTTTAACGCTCCGGCCGTCTGCCACGTGCACCATGCTTGTACGTGTGAACCCTGTGGGACCTTCTGTGTCCAGAAGCTCATGTTCTGTGGGGAGAATCCAGACTGCATCTCAGGTTCCTGGGCTAGTACCACAGTGCAGGGATGAGCACTAGGCTACATGCGGGGCCCTCTCTGCATATCTAGGGAGAACCTTCTCATAGTGAGAGGCGTGCGTGACATCCCACTGAAAGTCATTGTTTTGACTGTTAGTGTGTGGCAGTACTTCAGAGCTGCACACCTGTCGGGACGTTTCAGGAGAGCTGAGTGTGCTGAGACTGTACTCCATCTGGTGAATACTGAGAGGCCGAAGCCCCTGGAAGCATCAGAGGGCAGGGGACTGCTGGACACTAAAGGCCATCAACTGCAGTCAGTGCACTGGGAATGTTGGGTGGAGCCTGGGAGAGTGCTCCAGACCTTCCTCCCCTCCCTGCAGGCTCTTCCCTTCTGGGCCCTGACATTTCTTCCAGGCACATACCAGCACATGACAATGAATCTGAGCCCCTCCGGGCCCCCACACCCGCCTGCAGCTGTCCCAGCTCATCTGTCAGTCACCCGATCCCCCACACCTGTTCCAAGCACAGCCTGTGAAGCTGCCCACCCGCACGCACAGCTATGAATAGGGTGGAGGGGGGGGGCCTGGGGGCATTCAGAGGGCAGGTGGGGGACCTCATTGGATAATAGGAGGGACAGCAAAGGAGAGAGGCAAAGCTTGTTTTGAGGGTAAATATAAGGGTAGACAGGAAATGCCATAAATTTAGCTGTGGGACGGGATGCGGTTGTATAAGAGGGGCTTCAAAAATGTTCATGGAAAAAGAACATTATCTTGTCATTCCATTTTTCCACGAACTTTTTGAAGCCTGCTTGTGATGAGAAGAATCAGGCCTGAGGACAACAGCCTGGATGAGAAGAATCAGGCCTGAGGACAACAACTGTCCTTGTGGCCAGTGTTGCCTGGATGTGTACAGTTCTGGGCCCAAATTGGGACCCCTCCTTGTGGGTCCCTTGATCTCTCCTAGACCACCAGCTCCGTTATTCCACTCGCTCCCCAAAGTTACAAATTCCTTGAGAGCAGATACAGTTCCTCAACCTCCCTGAGCCCTCACTGTCTCTAGCAATGTTGAGCTGGGACTGGTGAAGTGTGTGGTTGAGTGACTAGAAGGCCAGCAGAGTGTTAGGTGGTGACAAGACCCGGGAGTGTATTTGAGATAGGGCAGAGCTGGGGTGCCCTGCACTCTCAGGGTAAGTGGGAGGTTGTAGATACCTCCTCTTTTTCTGCCTCTTCTTGGTGACCAAGGGACCTGCACTCTTCACACCCAGCGCCATCCAGAGGTCAGAGGTTGAACAGCAATGTGACCTGCACAGGGCATTTTGCCAAAACCCTGGCGAGACAGGAGGAACGTATCTTGGTTCGTACCTCCAAGAAGCTTACTCTCTGGAGGGGTCAAGGACATCTGAACAGATAATTACAACACAGAGATTTAAAGAGGCCTGTACAAATCACTATAGGGGTCTTGGGGGCAGGGGAGCATTGTGGCTGGCCAGCGAGGTGTTTGTATGTATCCTTCCCAAGCTTGAAGCACAACATTCTCTTAGATGCTGCAGGAAGAAACATTTTCCTTGAATAGCTATGCCACTGAAGTGTAATCCTCCACAGTACGTCAATATTGCTTAGGATGGAGGTAAGGAATCAGAGAGTCAACTTAAAGAGACCATTAGGTTCATAGACAACACGTGTGGCTGATGTGGCATTAATCAGAAGAGACCTGAGGAGATAAAGCCTGAGATGTCATCGCTTCATGTTCCGGCCTTGCCTCTTGGTGCCATGTGTTAAGGCTCTGGCCTTCCCAGGAGACAGGGCTTTCTATAGCCAGCCATAGCCAAGATCTCTGCCCTGTGCTGCTAGCCTTTACATATCCTAAGCACATAAACTGTCCCCCAGCCCCTTTTTAGGAACTAGCCTGTCTGTAACACTTGGTCTCCTAGGAGGAGCACGTGGTTTTGTAGGGAAAAAAAACCAGGAACTGGTTCTCGTTCATTCTGTATTTAACAGCAAGACCTTGAATCTCTCATCAAAAAACTAAAAACCAGTGCTCTGGAGTCGGCTCCGACTGATGGCGACCCCAGGTGTGTCAGAGTAGAATTGGGCTCCATCTGGTTTTCAGGGGCTGATTTTGTTGGAAGTAAACCAATAGGCTGTTCTCCTGAGACGCCTCTGAGTAGACCAAAGCTTCCAACCTTTCTCTTAGCAACCTGGTAGGTTAATTGTTTGTTTCCCCCATACTCCGGAGCTAGTTACAGTCAAACTGTGGTTAATTCCCAGTCCTTTTTTTTCCCCCTTTCCCATCTTAATGGCCTCATTAAAACCAATCCAGAGCACATTAAACGTGTCATTCTGTTTCAGCTATGGAAGCAGGTTTTTATTCCTGATCTTATAAGTAATCCATCCTTATTCTGATCTATAGCCTGCTTTCTCCCCCCCCCCCCCGCACACACACACACACACACACTCAACAATATGTCATCGTCATTCTACAATAGAAAATAGAAGCCCTGGTCAACATTTTGTGTGTGTGGGCACATATAGTATTCTATTTTATCATAAAACAATGCCCATCCCTCTGCCAGTTGAGAGAACATTCGTTCTCTGAAATAATGGCTGAGCTCCCGCTAAGGGCCCAGTGATAAAACTGCCTGGTGCCTGACTGAAAGATGCCAATACTTGATCTTTCTGCAGAAGAGCCCGTTGTGTCAGATTCTTTATCCTGGTCTGGAGTTCCCATTTATAGGGCTGCATCCTACTCCCTGGGTGGTACAAAAAGTTAAATGCTCCACTAGTGTGGCGCTGGAGGATCAGCACTGGATTGAGAACCACAAGGTTGACGGTTCAAACCTGCCTGCTGTTCCTCAGAAACCCTACACAGGGTTGCTATGAGTTGGAACCAACTCAATGACGCTTAACAACAACAACAACACTAGCCAAAAGGTTGGTTGTTCAAGCCCATGTATAGGTACCTCAGATGATAGGCCTGGTGTTCTGCTTCTGAAGTCACAGGCTTCAGTGGAGCAGTCCTACTCTGTACATACGGCATGGTCACCGTGAATCGGAATGCAGTCGATGGCAGTCCAGTGTGATAATGATTCAGGACTGGTTGTGTGGGTGGGAGAAGAGGCTTAACTTTGAGAATAAAGCCTTTGGAAATCCATCTGTGCATTTCCTCTGAGTTCTAAGTGGCTCTGTTAGCAGCTCTGACTCAGCTGGGATAACTGTGGGGGAGGGACTTCAGTCCGATGGGTGAGGGTCCTTAAATAGTGTAAAGTTTCAAAAATACAACTCCGGCCTCAGAGTCACTGCGGTACCTACATCTCACATCTTCCGTTTCCTTGGTTGGAAGGAGACAGGTTGCATTGAGACAGGCTTTGATTTGGGCTTGGGATGGGTCACTTATCCACCATGTGACCTACGACAAGCCACAGAGAGCCTCATCGGTAACAAGGAGGCGGAGGTTCTACATCATCAGAGTGTTACTCCATCTTTTTCTAAGGGTGAATCACTGAGGGTAAAATCCACATCAGCCCAACATGCTGCCCTCTAGCTCTGCATATTTAGAGGCATGTTTAGGGTATGGTGAGAAGCACAGGAGACGGGGTGAAGGGCCTCATAAGCTAGGCCAGGGATTGAGAGTGGTACCACGTGGCAAAGGGGCTCGATGATAGGCCTTTAAGCCAGAGCAATGCAATCAGATTTCTATGGAGAAAGACCTCAGAGCCGCTAGAGAATGAACCAAAGGAAGACAAAACTGGTGCGAGGAAGACTAGTGTGGAGACTGTTAAAGATGCAGAAAAATCAAGGCTGGCTGGACTCAGAAATGTTACAGAGATGAGATGAGAGGCAAGTCCCCAGAAACATTTCTAAATTGGCAGTCTAGTGACCAGCTGGACCAGAGGCTGAGCTGTGGACAGTAAGTGTGTTGGCATTTGAATGGACAGCAGGGGCTTGAACAAATGCAGGTCATAATGTTTTCTTTTTCTAGTGACTGGGGAACACAGCCTGATAAATATCCCAGGTGTGGCGTGGTGAAAAAGTGGAAACGTTCCAAGTTCTTTGTAGGTCCTTCTGATTTCTCCACAGCCCAAGACCCAGAGGCCTGCTTGACTTCGTTCCTCCAAGGGGGCCACTGCTGATATAGCTAACCACTTCCTCGGCTCCCTCATGTCTCCCTCCAGGCAGACCTCAACACCAACATGGAAGACGAAAGTAGCTCCTTCTACGGGGTCTCCAGCCAGTATGAAAGTCCCGAGAACATGATTATCACCTGCTCCACCAAGGTCTGCTCTTTCGGCAAGCAGGTGGTGGAGAAAGTTGAGGTAGGCAGCCACCTGGTGGGTGAAGGGTCGAGGCCTATGGTGTTCTTCTCTAGCGCTCCTCTGAGAACAGGTCTGCTCTGAGGAGCTGCATCAGAGGTGGCCTCGCTGCAGCTTCCGTCTGCTTTCAGGAAGCGTGACCTCTAGTTGCTGGACCATCTGCCAACCTCCTCGTAGCTCCTTCCTCTGTTAGTGCTGTGTGCTTCATTCATGTCCCCTTAGAACCATGGCCTTGACCAGCCACCCAGGGCTATTACTCAACACCCCAGGCTGGGAGTCATCTTCTGAGCCCCTCCGTACAGGAATCCACTTGTCCTCTCTCATAGACCGGGTCCTCAAGAGATTTTCCAAGCCTTTCATTCCACAACAGAGACCCAGAGAGAAGACACACAACACAGCTAACTCCTGGTCTCTGCCTCTTTTTCTTTCGAACCCAACTCACTTTCTGTTCCAGGAATGCTAAAAAGTGTTCCTCTCTCCATTTATTTGTGTGTGTGAGTGTACCAAAAAGATCTTGTATTGTTGACAGTCACAAAATTCCCCCTCCTAATTCCTCCTGGTCAATGGCAGTGGCAGTTAGTAGTTCAGACAGTCCAGGGTTTGAGTTCCAGCTTCCCTACTTTCTGGCTGTTGGAGGGGTGGGGAGTAGGCTAGGTAAAATCCTCCATTTAACCCTAAATGGGTAACAGGTTATGCTTGTTATTCACAAATGCAGACCCCTGAAGTATTGTTCTGGTCCCACTGTGTAGTGGGAGTGATTAGAAGATGGGACCAGATTCAGCATGCAAGAAATGTAAGAAATGATACCGAGAGCTCTGGTCTGCCCTTCGCCCAGTTGTCCCCAGTGAGAACTATAGCAGTGCTATCATGCAATGTCAGCCAGGAAGTTTGCATCAGTACAATCCACCAATCTTACTCTGATTTCACCAGTTTCACATGCACTTGTGTGTGTGTGTGTGTGGTTGTGTGTGATTACCATCAGAGACAGTTCCATCACAAGGGTCCCTTCAGCTGTCCTCATGTTATTTCAGTGTGCCATCAGGATAGAGAGCCACCACTCTGTCCCATCTCCCCTATGGCCACCACTCTTCTGTCTCTTTGGGCTCTACTTCCCCAAACCCAGTTTCTGTTTGTCACCAATATTGTCGTTGTTAAGTGCCGTCGAGTTGGTTCCTACCCACAGCGCTCCTGTGTAGGTTTCCAAGGAGCAGCTTGTAGTTCAACCAACTTTGCAGTCCAACGCATTAGGCCACAGCACTATACCAGCACTCCTGTCACCAATGTAGACGTGACTAAACCAAACCCAAACCCACTGCCATCAAATCGATTCTGACTCATGGCGACCCAGCATAAGAGCTCCAAATCTCTATGGGAGCAGAGAGTCTCATCTTTCTTTCTCCCATGGAGCGGCTGGTGGGTTTGAACTGCTCATCTTGTAGTTAGCAGCCCAATGCCTAACACACAGCTCTAGCAGGATTCCTATGAAGGAGAATATCTACCAACATAAAAGGGTGCCTCTGTTCTCAGGGCCGGTAGGCCTCCTGCCTCTTCCCACTTACAGTGACTGGGTCGTGGAGTTTCTCCATGGAGTTAGGCCTGGGCTGGAGGTAGTCGAATGGATTCTAAGCCCCCGCTGTTCCCCTGGGTCCACAGACAGAGTACGCCCGCTATGAGAATGGCCACTACTCATACCGCATCCACCGGTCCCCACTCTGTGAGTATATGATCAACTTCATCCACAAGCTGAAGCACCTGCCCGAGAAATACATGATGAACAGTGTGCTGGAGAACTTCACCATCCTGCAGGTGTGTGGGCCCAGGAGGGGCTGGGACATGACAGGCAGATAGAGCACATGGGGTGCCCACTTCTGAGACCTCTTTTTCTCATCTGCAGGTAGTCACCAACAGAGACACACAGGAGACCTTGCTGTGCATTGCCTATGTCTTTGAGGTGTCAGCCAGTGAGCACGGGGCTCAGCACCACATCTACCGGCTGGTGAAGGAGTAGACTTGGGTGGTAGGGAGGGGAGAGACGTGCAGGAAATGGGGACATGGGGAGGGGACCTGCAGGGACAGCCTCAAGAAATGCCAAGTGAGTTGAGAGGAAAGGTCTAGACTCTGCCTCCCGACAAAGAAACTGTGCCTGAACCTGCAGTGCCCCACCCCAAATAAACCCAACATGCTGTGTATTTTCAGAAGACCTGGTCTGGCTGTCTGAGCCGGGGGAGGGACTGGGAGCCAGGTTGGGGAGAAGGGCGGGGCTCGTCGGTGCCAGCTCTGAAACTCAAGATGTGATGGTCTCTTCTACCACTGCTGCTCCAGCCCCTGGCCACTCTGGGAGACCTGAGGAAGACACATGGACTCGTCATTCTGTTTGTCTTGTGTATGCACCCACAGCTGCTTGCATATGAAGGCATCTGCTCACCTGAAACCTTCTGTGGCCATACCCCAGGACAGCCAGCTTGAGGAGTTGGATTTTAGGTGCAGAAGTGACAGGTTGTTGTGAATATTAGAAGGGGAAACAGAACTCTGTAGTTGTGATTCTTGTCCAATGGGCATGGAGCCCACAGCCTGCGTTTGCTTGATGGTGGCCATGTTGGCAAGTTGGGGATTAGTCCTGGCCCAAAGACTCCAAGGCAGGGAGAGTAGGGGTGATGATGCTGATGCCAGACCAAGGTCGCTTCTTGCAGCATCCTTGTGGTGATGAAAGCCAAGGACATGGATCAAAGGTCTGTGGTGGGCCAGTGGTTTCCGAACCTTTAGCTTCTGACATTCTGAGTCTAACCTTAAAATCTCTCCCAACCAATATGCCTCCCTGGATCCCACGCCAGACAGTTTTGCTCCCTCCACAAAGGGCAGCGTCTGCACTCTATTAGAATGAATGAAGAGAAGGGTAGAACCCACTCTGGGGCCAGAGTTAACTTACTATAATGGGGTTCTGTTATTTAATTCTTCTAAGCTTTGGGTTTTGGCCATCCTGGTGCCAGTCGTAGAATTCCTGGCAAATTTCTGAACCTGTCTGAGCCTTCGTACCAAAGTGGAAAGACAACAGCAACTACATTAAAAGGCCTTAGTGGGTGTGGTTGGGGGAGAATATAAAGTGCCCAGTGCAGGAGACTCATCAGAGGCCTGGGCCTGACTCTTTGCTGCCACCTAGTGGCTCTTTGGCATCTTCCTTGATAACCAGCCTTCAACATGGCAACCCCATTTGAGTCAGAGTAGACCTGTGCACCATAGGATTTTCAGTGGTTGATATTTTAGATGCGCATCATCAGATCTTTCTTCGAAGGCATCTCTGGGTCGACTTGAACCTCCAACCTTTTGATTAGCAGCTGAATACATTAACCTTTTGAACCACTCAGGGACTCGATCTTCTCTGATAGGAACCTCAATTCCAGTAGCAGGGAGCAAAACTCTAACCCAGAAGTGTGTGCCTAGCACTTTGGGTGATAGTATATGAGAATTTAGAAATGCTAAGACAACAGCATCCAAGAGGTGTTACAGAGCGGCAGTGAAAGCAAGGACTTGAGTCAGATTACAAGGATTGGAATCCGAGGGCTCTGCTACTGACTTAACAGTGTGACTTTGAAATGAGTTACTTCGTTTCACAGCCTTGGTTTTCCCATCTGTATTGCAATGGTACCTACCTCATATGTAGAGTACTTAGCACAGTGCCAAGTTCATACATGTGTTCAATAAATATAAGCTATTAGTAACGTTAGAGGAATGTCGTCTCATTTCCAGTTGGAAGACTGGTAAGTGGACTGGGCTAATCCTCAGCAACAGGAATTCAGAGATGGGAGCGATCAAGGGTGGGGGCTAGAGAAGAAGTTGCACTTGGGGAGCTGGCCCTTACAGGCTGGCAACATTTAGGTTAGCTCGCAGGAGGTCCCTGCATCATTCCAGATGGGAAAACAAACAGGCTTTCGTGTCCTCCCAGCTCGGTGGGCCAGCACTCCCTCTCACCGGAAAGGAGCTTTAACCACACACCTCTGGGGTTCAGGGCCTCTGCTAGACCTGCACTGCACTGCACTGCATACCTCCCCATCTGTGGAGACTGTGCTCCCAACCAGCAGGCATGGCACCCCGGTCACTTGGACTGACTTCTTGTGTGGAAGGCATGTTCTTGAGTATCCGTGTGTGAGTCTGTGGTGGGGTAAGGCCCCACCCCTTACCTATCCCCATCACAGCCCCTGCCTCCCTTCAAGTTTGACTGACCACAAAGCATAGTGAGACTTAGGTGGGACAAGTACAGTGCAGCTGTCCGGCCCAGGTGTCAGCTGTGAGTTTTCCCTTCCCCTCCCTGTGAACTAACCTCAGCTGCCTACAGGAGTGTTACCTGCGTACAGCTGCAAATCCCAGGCCAGTCAGCTGGAGACAATGGCAGTTTTAGGTGTAGTGTGGACCGTGACACTCGGGGTAAATGGGAAGACTGGTATGGGCCACCTACCCACCAGCCTCCTCTGGCAATTCCCAGTGCTCTTCCTGCCTCCAGTTACTCTTGAGTTACTGTTCCCAGCACATCCTTCCTACCTCTTGGCTTTGGCACTGCTTGTTCTGTTGGCTGGTAGTATTCTTTACTCTTCTCATAGAGAAGGACTTGCCATGCCTGATGTCCCATTAGAGCACTTTCTACATGCCTCCTGAGCAGTGGTATCCCCATGATCTCTTAGGATCTTCGCAGCAACATGGTAGGGAGGTCCTATGCTACCCCTATTCTAAAGAAGAGGACAGTAGACAAGCAGAGGCCAATTAATTGGCTTGGATTCATGTACTAACTTATTCACTTAACACTTTCTTTAAACTTATGCTTTGTGCAAGGCATTGGGACTTGTATCAGTGACTGAGACAGTATCAAGCAGGCAAGCAAATAAATGCAGATAATGGTGAGTGTAAGAGTGGCTGGGAATACTACTTTAGTGGTGTAAGGAAGGCCTGTCTGAGCTGGTGGCATTGGAGTGAAACATGAAAGATAAGAAAGACCAACATGGGCAGGGGGAAGGAAAGTTATCGCAAGTGGAGAGAATGGCGAGTCCTAGAAGCAGGAAGGTGACTGATGTGTCCCAGGTGCAGAACAGAGGCCAGCGTGTCTCAAATATGGGGAGAGAAATGCATTGGGTACGTTGTTGAGGCAGGCAGGGGCTAGCTTGTGTACTCCATGATAAGAAATCAGACTTTTATTTAGTGTGATGGAAAGTTCTTAGAGTATTTTCAGCAAAAGAATGTAAGTATTTAAAAACAAGTCATTTCCAGCTGCCGTGGACTACAGAAAAGCAAGTGTAATTGTCCGCTTCTGAATCTGTCTCCTGCTAGGTCAAGATTATCAGTTTCTGATACTTTGGAAACTGGACACCCTGTCTGAAACCCCACAGGGGCTCAGTACACGTTTGATGAAGGAATGGACATGTTCAAGGCAGGGAGATGCAGATCATTGGTCTCTGTGAGGTGAGTGAAGGGCCTGCGCCTTGCCCTCAGCATAGAGAGCTGTCCCAGCTTGTGACACAGTCTAGGGTTGGTTAGTAGGCCGCACCATCCAGGAGGGGCCAGGAAAAACAGACTGCTGGTGTCATGGGGTCAGGCTGACTGAGCAGGCTGTGCTCCGGGTTCACCACTTGGCTGTCACAGACTGAGACAGTCGACTTCATGAGAGAATCTGCTAGGAGTTTGGTGTGGGGGTATGTGTAGACATGGACTGTGCCCTCTCAGGCCTGAGACCAGTAGTTAGGAGCATGGGAGTTGGCTTTGCTTGGAGCCTCCCACATACTGTGTGCGCTTGGTTCAGATAGCCTCCCGCTCTCCTGGCCTGTGAGATTCAGAGACTTGTAGGCTGTGTGGTGAAGGAAGCTGGGGGTAGAAGAGCTCATTGCTTGTACACTGGGGTGGTGACAGCAGGGATCAGGGGCTGTGTGTGGTCTGAGGCTCCGCTGGCCAGCCATTGCTCTCCAGGTTACCCCTGAGTGAAGAGGAGGAGTGCAAGGTAGAGTAGAGATGTGTCTGATTTTACCTCAGGGGCAGTCATCCCCAGTGGTCACCATGTTTGACCCCTTCTTCACATCTGTTATGTTAACTTTAAGAATGAAAGGGAGAATTAAATCTGACCACCTACAAGTTGTGTGACCTAGGGTGAATGATTTTTCTTCTAGAACCTTACTAACCTCATTTGTGAAATGGGAAGGAAATAGTTTTGATTTCAGAGTTTTGGGAGGAAGAAAGTATTGGGGTCCTATAATGCTCCCATGGCAATATCAAACACTACACAATGTGCACAGTGCACATAGGAAACTAATGCATGAGGGAGTTGCAGGGTTTTAAAAAATCAATATAGTGTGCATTGTTTGTGTAAAAATACAGTGTATAAAGCATAGCTAACTGGTGTGGCACTGTAGGATAAGCACTAGACTGCTAACCTCAAGATCAGTGGTTCATATCCACCAACTCGATGGCACTTAACAACAACTCCCGATAAGTGCTCAGAAAATGTGAATGACTTACCACATCTCACCCTTGTGACACAGATGCTTACACGCTTGTTTTTAGAGGAAAAACCCCTGTAGTTTCAGCCAATGAAGACAAGGAAGCAGCTTCAGGTCTCATTGGTTAGTATGTACACCCACCGTGGTTTTCAACTTTCATCCCAGTCCTGGTATCAGAAACAGGGAGGGAAGTGTTTTCAATTGGGAAACCAGTTTGGTTGCCTGTTAGGCTAAGAAAGAAACTCCAGAGAAGGGTCTGGAAAGAGGGCAGGACAAATGGAGGCTAAAGTTCTCTGAATAAGAAGCAATCAGGAATGTGGTATCTGTTTGACTTCCTGAGAGAGGAGAGGTCCAGGTCTCATCATAGAGGGTTGGAGCCCAGTGGGTGGGAACAGCTAAGTGGCTGTAAACTCATGGATGTCTAACACATAAAGTGTTTTGTATTTTTGTGATGTAACCCCCACCATCTCTCCAACTCTTCAGTAAAATCTGATACATACATAAAGGCCTTTGTGCAGGTGCTTTCTTTATGTGGAAATGAAGGGTTCCATACCTCAGCAGCAGCAGCCCGATGACAGTCACTGAGATGAGACCGCCGTAAACTGAGTAAGTCTGAACAAACAGGCCCTGAGGCCACCATAAGTGGAGCTGCTCGCCTCTAGCCCAGGTCTTCAGGGTGGTGGTTCCCACATGGGATAAGGTTAAAGCCAGTATCCTTGGACTCT